GGTATGAAAATGAAGTGAGGTGTCGCGAACCTCTTTTCCGGCACACTATGCGCGGATATAACTGAGGACGCGCGGGTGCTGAGGGAGGGAGGGAGGTGTCGCGGACACGTCGCTCTTTATTCTGCCGCCCTATGCGCGGATATAACTGAGGACGCGCGGGTGTCGCAGACCTCAATTCTGCCGCCCTATGCGCGGACATAACTGAGGACACGCGGGTGCTGATGGAGGTGTCGCTGATGCCGCCCTCTCTATTCTGTCGTCTATGCGCGAATATATCTGAGGACGTGGGTGGTGAGGAAGGTTTCGGGGCTGCCTAGGTCGCCTCTATGGACGCGCCGGCCCTGTGTCCAGGTGTGCTTGTCCTCCTGTTCCCTTCTATCCCCTCGGCCTGTACTCACACTGTATTTTCACTTTACAAACCCGAGCACGCTTATATCATCGATGATGCGGATGTTCTGTTAGGAAGAGAAACGCTTTCGCTCCATACAATAGGAATTGCTTTAGTTATAATGTTATGTATTATTTTAAGAGGTTTGGGATGCAGCGACACAGTCAAATCTTTTGCTGAACAGATCCACAACTTTTGATGCTCATGAATTATAATAAAGTCCTTATGCTGCAGCTATCAGGAGGTTTGCTGAATGCATTAGCTGTCCTGCAGTGGGGGGGTTGCGTCTGGCAGTTCGCGTTCATTGAAAAGTTAAAAAATATTAATAAATCCATATCAAACAGAAGGCAGCAAGGAGATGAAACACACAGTTTGCAGTAGGAAAACATGACAGAGGTGTTTAAGAGGCCTAAAATAAAGAGTTGAGCTCATAGTTGTGGTTTGACTTCTCTGCTGTGTTTTACCACAGTGAGGAAGATGTCTATACTCTGCGTCTTTACTTTCACAAACCTCGAAACAAAGAATGCATTAAAATATAAAATGGAGCACTTTAGACACCTGAAAGTGACCAACAATCCATGCAAAAGCCAACATGACCCACCAGATTAATTACCAGACACTGAACCCTGCAACAGAGGATAAAACTAAAGAATCCTTCAAAAAGCAGAACTGATAGGCTTACATTTGGTCTACATTTTTCTCCTCCTCCTCACCTTTTGGTTTAAACCCAGGAAGTGTGTGATTGAGCAGCCAGCGCTCTGCTAGAACAATCCATTAGTGTGTCAGGATGGGCTCCAGTGCACTGCCTCTCCTTCTCTGTGAGTATTTGATCAGATTCTCCACTCTTCTGCTCTTTAATACTGTTTTAATCCTTCAGCTGAAGATGAGAGAATGATTGTGCTGTATGTTCTCGTGTTTATTAGTCAGATTCAGTGCTGATGTGTGAAGTGTTGAACAGATACAGCGCTTCAGAGATCAGGCAGTTATCTGTGCTGTGAATGGAAATTGGAGGCCGCTGGATATCAACATCTGATGGCTTTTGTTTTATACATTATATACAAAACATGCTGGGTTGTTATCCAACGCTGGGTCAAACATGGACAAACACAATCATTGGGTTAAAAAGTCTCATTTAAACTTTTTTTTTTTTAAAGTAACCCAATGTTGGGCTTGTCCATACTTAACTCAGCGTTGGTTTACAACAACCCAGCATTTAAGTCTTTCTTCCCATTTAATGTATTTAAGTGAAAACGAATCATCCAAAGTGGCTTGAAAAGTATTTGGTCCGACACATGAAACCACACTTTCATAAAACCAAACTTTTTTTTGTTTGTTGTTTGTTTGTTTGTTTAAGCCAGTGATTGGATTAGTCTACATTTTGCATGTATTTTGGTTTGAGTAAAGCCGCATGTTTAGATTAAAGCTGCATCAGTCAACAAAAAATGTTCAGGCGTTTCTCAGAACTGACTTCTTTCTCTGATACTTTTTTGTTGTTTATAATTAGTTGCTCTCATCATTATTTTTATGCATTCATATGAACAAAGTTATTTTCATGTTTTTAGCAGAAAAAGTTGGGGCTCACAGTTGGGGAACCCCACAGTTGTGGCTCATCACAATAACATATGGAGATATACATGTATGTCAATAGAATTGACTTTGTACATGTTAATTTTCGTTGTCTCTCTTTTTAGTGAAACATTTTGGTCTAAAACTGCTTGCACTGTAATTTTCCTAAATTGGTTTGATAAATTGCAAAAATCTGAATTCATTTCTAAATTAAGAGTTGCTTTGCAGTTTATATGCATCTTTACACCTAGTTTATTTCAGCACTGCAGATGACAAGTACGTCAACAAAGATGATCTCAGACTTCCTTTGATCACAGTGCGCGCGCACACACACACACACACACACACACACACACACACACAAACACAAACACACAAATTGCTATTTAAGAGCAGTTTATTTCATGGGAATGATAAAAAAGACATTTCGATAAGGTCAAAATTTACTGTTAATGTTATACTTTGCTACATGAATGCTACATGATAAATACATTTACAGTGTGATGAATATAAGACACACAAACACACTCTCACACACATACGTAAGCACGCACACTGTACAGAGACAACACCATATTAGGTCCCTTTTTGTTTGATCATGTCCACATTGAGGTCATTCAGAGTCAGTGAACTGTCTGTTGAGCAGGTAAACACAATGGCAAATCAGCGCTGTTAAAGAAAGTGCTCAACACCGCTCAAATGTTAGCGAGAAATCGACGTATTTAAAATTTCAACCAAATTCATCATAATAAGACACACTTTTTCAAGTGGTTTTTTCTTTGTTCCAACATTAGACCTGAACTCCAGAATTGTATCAGACAGGGCAGCACTAGCCTGGTGCACTTTTGGTAGGGCGCACGGTAATGGAGAACGAGTCCAGCTCCCTCCCGAGATACGAGAAACTCTGCCCGAGGAAGAGCTTGCTCTTTCCCAGTTGACCGAAAGGTCGAAGGTGCTGAAGCACCCGGTCTCTGTGCATAACTGACTGATCCAAAGATTGCAAAATAAGCCAATCAATGAAGAGCCAAAAGTGCAGATGCCCACAAGCCAGGGTATCCTCCAAGCACAGAATCAGGAAGAGCCCAAAGGTGAGGACTCTGTACTGCCATGATCAGTCCCTGAGCGCACACTGGAAAAAAAAAAAAAAAAAGTATGGGGAGGGGGAAAGCGAGACATGGAAGTGAGCGTCCTTCAAGTCTATAGCTGAGACCCAATCCCATGGACGGACACACTGAGGAATGTGTTTCTGCATAAGCATCTTGATCAGCAACCTGTGGCGATAACTGATCAAAAGGATTAGGACTGGTAATAGCGCACTGCTCCTTGAGTACCATGAGGTACGGGCAGTTAACATGCTCTCTATCTTGGCCGGAGAGACCAGCTCAATTGCTTCCTTTACTAGGAGGACAGCAATCTGTTTGCTGTAGGGCAGCTTTGGGATGGGAAGTGCTCACCTCGGAAAGTGGCACTAGCTTAAAAACAGAGATTAGCTCTTACCTTCCTCCCAGGATCCCGCGAAGAGGCCAGACATGCGAGAGAAAGCCTGTGCCAAAGTGCACAGAAGCTGCGAGCTGGAAGGCAGCACGTCCCATGCTAGTGTTTGGGCTTTTACATCCAGAGGAAGAACAAGCTCTTTTTTGGATACCACCTGCCATGTGCGGCACCTTGCATTAATCTGCAGGGGGAATCTCCGGTCCTGCACCGGAGAAAGAACAGTCCTGGGAATGGGAGCATTAACTTCCTGTTAGGGCTCGACACGATCACTAGCCAGTGGAATTAGCTGTGATGGTAGAGCGATCTTGGAGCTGTGAGAATAATGCTCTCGATGAGGAACAGCTGGCGCAGATGGGCCCGTTAGGGGAGCAGTCTTCCGAGCCCACCAAGAAGTGACCTGCCCCATTGCGCACAGATGATCTCACCACCGAGAACTCCTGGATAAAGTCCCCGACAGTGTCACCTGCCTGGGATATGGCCATGCTAAGAAAGCAAGCTTTGTCAGTGTGGCACATATCTACCAGGGTAAGCCAAGAGTGACGTTTCCAGAACACTGTGTGGTCATCGTCCACCCCAGGTCACAGGTACCTGACTTGAAGGTCACCTGAGCATAGTCGGACATCGTGCAGAGCTTATGCATAAGTCTGGGGAAGAACCGCCCTTGTGCAGCACGGCCAGCACTTGCGGTGGTACCGTGGTGCAGGGCAGAGGGGGCATGGCTTGCAGCTGTGTGGGCTCTGGCTGTGAGAGAGACCGATAACCCACCCACCTTGGACGGGGGTCTTCAGCTTCCCTTCCAGATGAGGAATAACTTCATACCTGCTAGCCACTCCGCATCAAGGGAGGTGAGTGTGGAATCACATGAGGACCGGACGGAGAAAAACGCCCTCTTTGCCTGTGTGTGCTCAATGTGTGCTCCTGGGAAGAAGGGGACACAGGCTTGGAAGATTACTCTTATATCAGCATGCACATCGCACCCCTCTAGTCGGTCCAGCAGTGGGACTGGGAGACAAGCCATCTCCAGCCTCACTGCCGAAGCCGCCTGGGAAAGCGCAGCCATCATGTCCGACTCCAGAACTGTGACCACACTTTGCACCCCATAAGGTGGTAGCGAGCCCAGAAAAAAAATCATGAAGTTTAAATGCAAAAGCTTGTATTTAGACTTTGACCTGTCAAGATAACACTCTATCAGATTCAGAATGGTAATGAATATGTCAGTGTTGTTGTGTTCGGTCTTAGTAGCACAGATCTGCTACACTGCTGCTGCTTTGCTTATTAGTGCCAGTATATATACCAACCCAGGTTCATTCTGGAAATGTAGCCCCGCGGATGTTTCTGGAGACTACGATTTACGTGGCCGGAGGTATGTATGGCCGCATTTCATTTTTTCAAGCAAACGCTACGGGGCGGTGTGACGCTGCTCCTCTTCACGCTCGCCGGCTGATGCCTCACCACCTCCGTGTGGAGGGTGTTCCCGCCGCAACCAGTTTGTCCGGTTGGCATGTGGTGTAGGCCGGCAGAGCGGAGAGGCGGAGGGGAGCCGACTGCGACGATGACGGCGATGACCGGGTTTGAGTCTGGGGCCGCCAAGTTAATCATTAAATCATTCAGTCAGTCACTCTGACAGACGGTCGCTCGACAGTGGCCTCCAGCGCTTGGGCGCGAATGGCGTGCACTCACAAGAGGCATTCGAGACGCAACAAAAAGCTTGCACAGTGGCTTCTCGCGAATACAAATA